GATTTTTAGGCATGCTTACTACATTTGTATCATTATATTATGCATAAGTTATAATTTAAATTTTTAAGTGTTAAATTAGTATGTGTTGTGACCAATGATATTTTCGATCAAGTTAATATTTTACAACATTTCGGATACATCATTTGTTAATACACATTTTGGTTTTAAATTTTATCTGATTGTGAACTTGTCAATTAAATGACCTTACTGAAAATGTGGATGTATTGTAATTTAAATTTGTATTATCTAATTCCTGACAAGATTTAAATCTTGACGGGATATAATTATCGCCATGATCTTAATCTGTTTATCATCCCCTAAGGATGAATAATTTTTCCAATAAATCCCCAAAGCCTAATCATGAGATATGATCATAAATCAAAAGAATTTAATGTAATTGTATAACAACGTAAACATAATAACGTAAATAAAATTCAATGCGATTCCATATAATTAAGATTAATAATGTAGAATTGTTTTGGTGTATTTAAAACCAACTCTTCATAAAAAGCTCCAATACTATGTTATGAATTTATACTTTTTTTAAAATAAGAAATCACATGGAATAAATACTTACCTTGAGGCACTTTAATAAAAACATTAAAAATCACATTTAAATAACAGATCAAGTTTGGCTTATTAAATATTTATGATTTTATAAAGATTTCAATTATATTTTATTATCAGTTAAAAACTTTTTTTACCAGAAGAATTGCTCGGATTTATAATGACAGCAAAAGGAAATCTTACAGAAAATGTAATTTAATAAGGTAATTTTCCTTCTTACAATATCTTAAAAGAACATTTCAATTAAGATAGTTTAGCAAGATTATTTTTGTATTCTTTAATTTTTATCCCAGGAAATGTGAAAAACCGGGACAAAACATGAGAAAACCGGGAATAAAGTAAGAAAACTGGGAAAATCTGTACAAAATTATCAATGGGAATTAAAGAAAATAAACAATGCCCAGTTAATTATTTAAACATAATATATATTGTTGATAGAGCATCACTTTTATAAAAACTCTGCTCAGAATCATTTTTTTGGGAGCAACTTTTTTTCATGCTTTACAGGTGTACATTTATTAACTTATTATAGTAGCTGAATGACGGAAATGCCCTACCCAGAATATTTATAAAAGAGAAAATGTAGAAGAAAAATCAGCACAAATAAAATAATAATTTTTTTTTTTCAATAGACACAATATAATACAAATAATAGTATTATAGTATAGATATTCTAATAACGTCCGGAATTTGAAACCCATATCTTATACAACACAATTTCCACAATTATAATAATACAATCACAATATTAAAAGATAAATAAAGGACGATAAAATTATCAATGCAGCTACTTAGAGAAGGGGTCGTCGTATTTATTTAATCCATCATTTGTATTGTTCCGTTATAGTGGAACAAGTGAAATTTTTTGAACGGGTTAGGTCAGAATAGCTTTGACCAGTATTTCTTAAAGTTAGTGGTACCAACTCCTAGGGAATATTTCAGTCCTTTAGGGGTCGGTAGGTTTAAAGGCGCATTAAAAGGGAGTCGAGCTCTAATATACAGATTAAGGAAACAAATAGAAAAACACCAGTGTCCAGTTACATGTTTTATCGAACATAAAATCAGAACCGTTGTAAATGAGTTCCAAGAGAAAATATTTGTGTTAATCTTCCCAATCATTGAATTTATTGTTTATTTTATTGATCCAAATTTGAAACTTTAAAAAATTGAGATTTGGTAGCACACAGATATATTTGGAAAAACGTATGAAGTCAACTTGATGCTATAAGGTAATATGATAAATTCTTTAGATGCCAAAGTTGTAAATACTTTATTCATTGCTAAGTTCGACCTTTACAAAACGAATATAAATCCCCAAAAACTGATTCGGTTTCTAAATCTCAAGGTATGGTCAAATGCAAGTAGTGAGATTCCTGTTGACGAAATTCAAATTTTCAGTCACCATCATATATAGCTAAANAATGTCAAGATTCAAAGACACCCTCGAGTTAAAATACAATGTCCAGATAATTATTCAAACATAAAATATATTGTTGATAACGCATAACTTTTAAAAAAAACTCTTCTCAGAATCATTTTTTCTTTAGTAACTGTTTTTCATCCTTTAGAGGTGTACATTTAATTACTTATTAGAGTAGCTTCACCCCACCCCATTGATTTAGAACAATTTTTTCTCTAATATTAATCATAAAAAATTCAAAAATGTACTTACCATAATATTCTAGAATATAAAAAAACATTTAGATTTTAAAAGAAATTGAAAGAAAATTACTTAATATTATATAGTTATATTATAAGGGTTTTTATTTTTAGTACGCTTACTCCATTTGTATTTTTTAAACAAAATACTTACTGTCTAGAAAAAAAAAAACAAATTACTTTTTTAAATTTTAGATCTATTTGAGCTTGTTATCAGAAGCAATAAAAATTATAATAAAAATAAACTAAGAAGGGAAAAAGAAAGAGAAAAATATTTGATGGGATGAGAAAATGGTAATAGGACATTCGGTGAATTTTAAGATAATATGAGAGATTAAATCAATTGAAATGTTATGACGGGAATGACCAATACAAAATATTTGGTAAAAGAGGAAATGAAGGAGAAAAATCAGCACAAATTGAATAATTATACATTAACAATAAGGTATAATATAATATCAATATAATTATTATGGTATAAATATTGTTATAACGTCCCAGAATTTAATACCCATATCTTAAACATTATAATATCAATAGTTATATTTTTCCAATCATAGTCTTGAAATATAAGGCCGGAAACATAAATTAACGATGCAGCCACTTAAAGTAGCTGTTGCACTAATAAATTTATTCAACATTTGCATTTTTCTGTTCTAGTGCAACATAATAAGTCAAGTAATCGAGCTTTGCACGCGGTCTTCTTACTTCCTCTTTTTTTCCTATACAATAACCAACTCTGATCATCCGTAGCAGATCATTCAAAATGACATCAATAAATGTATTCAACATTTGAATTTTTCTGTTCTAGTGCAACATAATAAGTCAAGTAATCGAGCTTTGCAGGCGGTCTTCTTACTTCCTCTTTTATTCCTATACAATAACCAACTCTGATCATCCGTAGCAGATCATTTAAAATGACATCACCGCAATAAATATATTTTCATCGTGATCTCAAGACAAGTAAAGAACCACAACCTGTTGCATGGAATAGGTATAATTATTTTGATTAAAAATCGCGCAGTAAATATAAATGAAATTGATTTCATAAAGCAGAAAATATAAAAGTATGTACGAATATAATATTTAGACAACTGGTCGTATAACTCAAATGACTACGGGTCGGTTAAATTATCAAAATTGTTTTATATGAAAAATCCAATTNGTAGGTTTTGAAGGCGCATTAAAGGGGAGTCGAACTCTAAAATGCAGAATAATGGAACAAATAGAAAAACACCAGTGTCCAGTGACATGTATTATCGAACATCAAATCAGAACAGTTGTAATTGAGTTCCAAGAGAAAATGTTTGTGTTATTCGTCACAATCATTGAATTGATTGTCAAAATTGATCCAAATTTGAAACATTAAAAATTGAGATTGGGTACCATACAGACATATTTGAGGTCAACTTGAAGATATAAGGAAATATTATGAATTTTAGAAATGCCAAATGGGTAATTTCTTTAGTCATTGCTAAATTCGTCCTTTACAAAACGAATATAAATCTCCAAAAACTAAGTCAGTTTCCAAATCTGAAGGTATGTTCAAATGCAAATGGTGAGATTCCTGTTGAAATAATTCTAGTTTTCAGTGACAATCTTTTATTGCTACAAAATTGACAAGAAATCAATATTCAAAGACTTCTTCGAATGAAAAATACGTAACCGAATAGTTAGTACAAGATTAACCAATGGTTATTAAAGAAAGTATACAATGTCAAGTTAATTATTTAAACATAATATATATTCTTGGATCACTTTTAAAAAATCTCTGCTCAGAATCCCTTTTTTGTTAGTAACTGTTTTTCATTCTTTACATGTGTACATTTAATTACCTATTATAGTGGCTTAATCCCACTCCATTATTCTAGAACATATTTTCTTTTTCTAATATTATTCATAAAACATTCAAAAATGTACTTACTATCAAAATCTAGAATATAAATACAAATTCAGTTTTTAAAAGAAAATATATTTAACACTATAAGATTATATTATAAGGGTTTGTTTTTGTTAGTATGCTTACTCCATTTGTATTTTGTTAAACAAAATACTTACTGTCTAGAAAAAAAAAAACAAAATAACTTTTTAATATTAGATCTATTTGAGCTTGTTATCAGAAGCAATAAAAATGATAATGAAAAAAAACGAAGAGAGGAAAAAAACTTATGAAAAAGATGTGTTGGTATTAGGAATTGGTAGGAGGACGTCCGGTGAATGCTATAACGATATACTTTCAATATTAGTATTATAGTATAAATATTGTAATAACGTATTTGTAAAGCCAGACGGGATAGAGCCTAGGGGCCGTTATATTATTCCAATCACAGTCTTGGAAGATAAGGCCAAGAATATAAATTATCGATGCAGCCACTTAAAGAGGCTTTTGTACTAATAATTTTATTCAACATTTGCATTTTTCTTTTCTAGTGCAACATAATAAGGCATGTAATCGAGCTTTGCACGCGGTCTCTACCTTTTTTATTCCTATATAATAACGGACTATGATCATCCGTATCAGATCATTCAAAATGACATCACCGCAATAAACATATTCTCATCGTGAGCTCAAGACAAGTAAAGAACCACAACCTGTTGCATGGAATAGGTATAATTATTTAGAATAAAAATCGCGCAGTAAATATAAATAAAATTGATTTCATGGAGCAGAAAATATAAAAGTATGTACGAATATAATATTTAGACAACGGGTCGTATAACTCAAATGACTACGGGTCGGTTAAATTATCAAAATTGTATAATATGAAAAATCCAATTACCTTTAGGATATGTTATTTTTGAAGAGCGCCCTGTGTGGATAAGGACAACAAAAGAAATTATAGAAATAATTATGAAATATCGCATTATAATCTTTTTAATTTTTAACTAATAATGATAAAAATAACGAATATCTAGTAAAAATATGTATTTTGCATAGACTTTTATAAGGGTATTATACTGAAGAAAAATTTAATTTACAAAACGTTGTTTTTTTGAAGCAATATACAACATGTGCGAACTATATAAACATAAAAATTAATCGAATACATTTGATGATTCTATTCGTTTATTGTTTTACATAGGTGAAAATCATTTGTATATTTAATGCGTATAATCACGCATACAATGTCAATGTTAACCTTTAAACGAAAACCGCACATTTCGCTGTGACAACAAAAACGAATATATTGGCGGTAAAAACACACAGTTATTTGTGTGTGATAGGGCAAACACTGTAAGGCCTAGACTCTATAATACTACACGCAATATAATATTTTTAATTTCTAACTAACAATGATAGAAATAACGAATTTCTAGTAAAAAAATGTGTTTTACACATACTTTTATAAGGGTATTATCCCGAAGAAATATTTAATTTACAATACGTTGTTTTTTTGAAGCAATATGCAAAATGTGCGAACTATACAAACGTAGAAATTAAACGAATACAGTTGATAATTCTATTTGTTTATTGTGTTACATAGGTGAAAATCATTCGTATATTTAATGCGTATAATCACGCATACAATGTCAATGTTAACCATTAAACGAAAACCGCACATTTCGCGGTCACAAAAAAAACGAATATATTGGCGGTAAAAACACACAATGATTTGTGTGTGATGATAATGCAAAGACTGTTGGGCATAGACTCTAGAGCATATAAACATAATAAATTTCTGGATGCACTTAAATTCCATTAGTTTTTCTTCTGTTACCTACTTAAAGTTTTGCACAACAAATATACGGATTTAATTACTAAAATTTATCAATCATAGAATAGTGGATTGTGAATAAATGTATAATATTTGTTGAAGAAACACAGTCGTTTCTGAACAGTGCCGGAGCCAGACGGGAGAGAGCCTAGGGGCCGTTAAGAAACTAGGCTACCTAATTGAGTTTTAATAAAATTTGGAATACGTTTACTATAGAACTTTTACTATTTCTTATGCTCGTGGTAATAGTTATTTCGGTTGTCATTAATCGCAGACCAGAGTAGTCGTGATGCGATTATTAAGCTCACGGAATCTGTACCTTCAATTTTCCGCATAATTTTTCGAACAAAACTTTTAGATGGAGCTGCATCACGTCAAATTTTCGTACCCAATGCACGTACTCATGTGCTCATTGAACTCGAATGATTTTGGTGATTCGTCTTTACGACCAATACCCGTTGTTAAGTAGACAACTGTTCCATAGAAAAAAAAAATCACTTAAATTAAAACGAACGAAAAAACCGTGGTCACGCATTAAATGGAAATAATAATTAATTATGAAAATAAAAAATCCGTTCTACCAATAATCATCAGAAAAATTCTAGCAGTTTTAGACTCGTGCCGATTTAAGAAAATTCTGTATAATATTACGATGAAATGGTAAATTTGTGAAAGTCAATTTATCGAGAAATCATTTAGGACAAATTTCATAGCATAATATCACTTTCTATAACCCCTACTGCGACACTAATCTTTACCATTATAAATTCGAACATTTTGAACTCATGCGTGAAAAAATGTCAGATTTATCTTAGACAAACTTTTTTGAGCGAAGAACGAATAAGACGAAAGAAAGCGCGTGAGAACGAATTTAACAAAAAATTTACTACCAGTAATTGCACGTCAGACGATTGCGCTTGGACAAGTACTCGCTCAAATCCGTATATTCTCAGAGTTAAAAAAAGATTTATAGAATCAGTATTTGATTATATGCATAATTTACTCTTAAAAATGGCACTAGCAAGCTTAATGAATCACCAGCATATATGTATAATATATTTGTGAAATTATCACAAAATACATGGCATACACAAATATAATATTATAACCATGGGATAACTCGATTCGTTCTCTTATCGTATGGCTGCCCTGGAATCCGTCACTTTGTTTGATACATAACATCTATGCTGATCTAATAAACTAGAACAAAAACGCTGTGAACAATTATAATACAGCTTACAACAATGCCTAAACGAATTACTCTAGGAGCTACATAAATCAGTAACTGGTTAACTGAGTAAATAGGTAGTTATATTTTTCATATCTACAATTAGTATACGATTTACAATTATAATTGAATACAAAATATTACATCAGCGTACGTTCTATTGGAAATGAACTGACATTACTAGGTCAAAAAATAAAAAAATTAAATATCGCGATTATTAATTTTTTCGTTCTTTTAAAACTCGATAGCTATCACCCGAAAATACTTTGGGCCACTTAAACTGGACTGGAACAATGACTGAAAATTAAAAATCAACATTATGGGACGCTGTACTAATAGTGTGGCGAAGATATGGTTAATTATGATTTTTTTTTAGTAATGTTAACTTATATATTTGTAAGTTGTAATATTTTATTATTACTACAATAGGTTATAGTGATAAAATAATTCTATATGCTATGTGTAATATAATTTAGTACATTTTTACATCATTAATTATTTACTTGATTAATACTAATTATTAATTATAACCAAATACTACAAATAAGAATACAGAAAGCCAAATCAAAATCGACTGGCGACATAGTGCTTGAGAATTTAGGTGGTTGCCCCTTTTTCTTATTACTTGGATGTGATCTTTATTACAAATTATTTGACTCCACAAACTCACCACGCGAATTATATTTGTATTCATTATGGTTTTTTACAACATAGCAAAACAATTAAGTACATTAAAAATAATACCAGAATCCCAATTCAGACATTAAATTTTACATTTTTTTTTTTTTAAAGAGTGATAAAATATTCATTATTCTTATTATATATATATATATACAGAACATTTATGTTGGGAAATGTATACAAGAGAGAGAGCGAGAGAGGAAGTGAGATAACTTGTGAGAATGACAGACGACGAGTTTACGGAACGCAATGTGCAAAATAGAAATTCAAGGCACTCGAGTTCAAGTGCGTGCGTTTATGTCATCAGAAAATATTGCGTGCCCGCGTTTTTCGAAAATACATTTATGCAAATTCAACGGGGCCATGGGCTCGAATCACGATCGCACACAACACCCCGTGTTTTTATACAACGGAATACCCGAGAAATATACAGTTTAGCGTCTTCATCCCAACAATAATCTATTGTTTATATTAAAATTTCGCGTGCTATAACTATTATAATGTTAAACGTTCGTCGCTGTATCATGAAAAAAACGACGTAATTATTTCACTGTCTCCGCGTGATGAGCGAGTAATTAATATCGTGCGGGGTTAAAGGTAATGTTTCCTTGAACGATTTCAACTCGAAGGACAACGGCCACGGAGTAAGAATGTTTCTATTGTTAACTCAAAATATTTATTTGAGCACAAAGTAGATAGGCAACTCAACCGGTGCACGTGTGGTTACTGCCGAATTTTCATCGAGGGTTCGACTACCTAATCTAAACCCCTTAAGACTAGGCAACCGTATTGGTTCATTTGGACTGCGTGTCTCGTTACTGCTGCGTCCAAGTACTGACGCGAGAGAGCTCTCTTTTGAACCTTTATCTCCTTAAATGATTATAACTTAATACCCATTCACCATTCACTGGCGATGATGGCACCCATTGGCCCATTGTTCTATAATCCTGTCGGGTGGATAACCCACAACCAACACGATAGATTCCGTTCAAGAGTTTTACAAAAATGTATAAAATAATAACGTACAACACACAACGTACAACAGCGAGCCAGTACACATAAAACAATTTAATATGAAAAAAATTATAAATAAAATAATCGTGCGTTTATTTTTAAACAAGCAATTAAGAAAAATAAGGTAATTCACGAGAGCGAACAAAACGACGGCAAAACCGTACGTTTTTTATTAACAACAAACAAAAATGTATGTAAATTTAAAGTTGAACGTACATCTATGCGATCACAATACACTGATGGTTGAACAACGATAATTATCATCTTATTTTTACACGGGATGCCGGGCCTACGGAGACAAATTACGCAGCAATGGATCGATCGCGTCCGTTCACCGCGAACTTTGGACGTATTTAATAAAATTAAATAGGCCTTCTAGGATAATGGAGACTGGTGCAGTCTCTGTTATAGGTAATTTAATGTACATCTGTAAGGAAAAATAAACCATTGCTGACGAAAAGACGACTCTGAGCGCAGTTCAGTTGACAATGATGCTTTGTCAATAATATAAACATCATATTATGGTAAAATAATTAAATAGGCATTTTATATTTTCATTAATAATATCTGTTTAATATAGTATCGATTTTCCCGTTTTTCCCGCGTTATTCCCGATTTTCCCATATTTTTCCCGGATCATCACAATTGCTATGAAATCTCTTGGCAAAATCGAAATATTACCTCCCAAATGTATCTTTCCAGTAAAATTACTTTATAAATGGGGACAAGGTTTCTGGTAGACAAGTTTGCATAATAAATCGAGGATTATTTGTTGATTAATATCATCCGAGCGAGTGATAGCTAAGTCTCTAGATACGCTTTTGTTATTCCCTATTTAGGTAAAAGGTAAAAGAAGTGCAAACAATTTCTATTCGAACCCAGTGTTTGTTTGAACCCGCGACCCCTAGTATGACAATACGTATTCATGAACATTCGACTACAACAAACACACCGTATAGTGGCAATATAGAGTTATTTAACATAAATATGTAATATCTGCATTATATCTGAACTTAAAAAAGTTATAATTTCGAATTTTAGTAAGTCCCTTCAATTCTGACTTTACCATCCTTCTTAAATCGGCAATACATTTATATTCAAAAAAACAAAAAAATTGAAAAATTAGTTTTTTCACATAACTTTTTACTCAGTCAATTTTCAAGTCTCTAATAAGTCTCACTACGTTTGGAATCTAAAACTAATACTCTATCACATATTTGTTATAATTGATAAAAAATAATCAAGACAAATTATTTGGTCGTTTTGACCAATCTTCTACTCCCATCATTCTCTTTTTTTCGCGCAAATGTGGCAATCACTTATTTTATATCTATAAATATCTCTTTGTGCATGTTTAACATGGCCAAACCGTTTAGACGTAATCTTTCCACTGTGAAAACAAGTAACCAGGTAAAAAAGTATTTTGATGTTGGGAAAAATTCACTGCAGTGTTGCTTCAACTACAGTTTATGGTTTGGTTTAAATTTAGGATAAGTAATTTTTCTATACATTTATTTCTGCTTTGAAATTTAAATACCAACCCTTAATATCTTCACTATAGAATTTAGTAGACTCATAGAAACATGTGGGGCTTCTAAAAATACATGCGTGTATGCAAAGTATACGTATAGTAATTGTTTAACCATATAACAACATGATGAGAAGGATACTATAGCATCCCAGCACCAACTTCTGCATACGTGCTAGATGTAAATTATCCAATAAATGTACATGAAAGTCTATGTAGTCCAAGAAATTCATTACTTTGAACGGTATTCACATTTTTTGGACATAATGCTATTTTGCATAAATTCTAGAGGAAAAAATAAAACCCTGAATCTTTGGTTTTATGCAATTGCAAAACAAAAGTATTTTAATTGAATTACTTTAAAAACTATAACATTAGTCGAAATAAAATCAGAAGATTTCACTAACTATAAATGTACTTTTAGTTTTTCTATTAATCTATATCTATAGAATTCAATGAAAATAAAAAAAAGTTATGTTTGCTCCTTAATAAAATTATTTGAAAGTCATGAAAAAGTTGAATTTAGTTGATGGATACATCTGAATTTCAGTTGACAGCACATGGACACCACAGTTGAAAATAAATTATCATTGATAATAAACTATTGGATAAGGACACAGACTTTTAAGTCAGCACACCTGAAACGATTTTTATCACTGGAAGAGTGATATAATGAATTGACCAAAAATAAATTTATCTCTCTAGAGTAAAGATACGATAATGTACATAGTTCACAATCAATTTATTGCTTTATGAAAAATTAATTAATCATATTATTTTGAGACACGGTTCTACAATAGAAAACCATGCACTTGTTTATCCATTTAAATTTGAATAAATATTTTAAAATAAATACAAATGTAAAATAAGTTAAGTACCAATAATTAAAACAATATTAATAACAATTATAATTAATACGTTTATTGAATGTTACATGTAACCCAATTGTATAATAATTATATAGTTTTTAAATGAACAAATAATAATTATGACAATAATATTATTACATTATGGCTGTAGATTTATTATAAATATTTTTGTTATGTGGAATAGTCGTTTGAGAGAAAACTGTTGTTTATTTCTATATGAGTTCTGCAATATGCATACTACTAAACGTATAATATAGGAAAGCTGTATCCATGTTTAATGTTTGATACTACATATATAAATATATTACCTATAGTAAATATTAACAGAGAACGCTGAAACAAAATTTTTACATTTGATTAGTTTTGTAAAACTTAAATGTTTTGATATGGCTAAATATTCAATCATATCAACAAGATATCCACTATCATTAGGCATTCGACCCGGATGATGATGTTATTCTGCCGTATTTATTTTTACAACATTTCAATAATGTTGCTACCAAACTATGCCCACAGAATGTTTTTCATTAAATCTTTAAATCTATCAAATTTTTATACATTAACTATTTTTTTAGTGTTGACTTTATTTTTTTAACTACATACCTATGAACTAAATCTAAAAAATTTCGACGGTTGCTTTAAGTCTGAAAAAAAAAATATTTAATGCTTTTATTCTTCAATAATATTTTTAAATTCTGGTATTGAAATTCATTCACTACTCAATGAAACCATGCTACTGTAGACCTTTAAACTATGAAAATGATTTGTTTTTAACCAGCCAAAGATAAATGTTAATTTAAAAAGATTTTGGTTATAGAAAACAACATAAGGGGAAGTGTGAGATAAACCCCCAAAATTTTTTTTAGAAACAAATGATTTAAAATAATACTAGGACTCAAATTATTGCTCACCCACAACAGATATTTTCTGGCTACTTTCCTTTCCTAATACAAACGAATTTGTTCACTCATACGACAGTTAGATGTACAGTAGCTAATTGTTGTATTCTGATCCCGGCCACATGAGGGTTTAAAATGAGTAATTTATTATAATATTTATTTATACGTTGTGCATTATTAAAAGGTTTAACACGTATTGTATAACTAATATCCCAAGTTCGTGTAATGCGGATTATTAAATAAATGTTATATTAAATTTAATTCGTTAAATACTTACCGCTAATAGGCGTATTTAAAACATGCTCCATGTATATTTTGCATCCAGCTATAGCAATTATAAAATATATTTTGGTTTAGACATACAAATATATATAATTTGGACACAAAATTACGGTAAGTAGCTAATATACATAGATAATACTTACAATCCATATCTGGAAATATAAAAAAAAAAAATTTAATAAACCTAAGATTTTAAAATAGTAAAAACATTGATCATAAAATAATTATTTTACTAAACCATCATTAGGTGTGCGCTTTGGAAATTTGACTAGTTGAAAAACAAATTGTATAATAACAATTTCATTATTTGCCATGATGCTACATCTAATTTGCTTATAATTCATTTATAAAAAAAAACTGTTTGTTTAATTTTTAATTTAGAGAAAACACCCTCACTGTGATTAGAATGAGACAATTTTAAGTGGTATATTTATGGATTTACTACGTGGGGTCCCCGCCCTTTATAATGGAATACAAACTAATTAGGCCCCAATTTTTGAAGTTGTGAAATTCTGTTGCATGCAAATTTTACCACATTAAAAAAAAAAATATGGAATTTTTAGGTTGTATTATTATTTTAAATTTCAAAACTGCACAACTCTTGCACGAATTGAATTTATGTGTTAAGACCATTGTTTAAAATACCTTTTTTAGCCATTCCCATCAACAAACATCATATTATGATATTACTGTCCGTGTTTGATCACAATTATTATATTGTGAGGTTAAAATAATGTATGCAAATTTGTTACAATTTTATTTTACTAGATTTTATCGTATTCGATAATTATAATTGTAAACATGCGAGTTCAAAAATATATATTTCAATATAAATTAATCACATTCAATGATTTTATCATTATATAGAATGCGATAAATATGTCAATTTATGTACAATTTATTTCAATAATTAGGATCCAGATTGATTAACTATGTACTTAATAAACGTTACATTACGAAATATATTCAAGCTTTTTTCTGTGATACTACGGGTCCAAACTCTGGTGGAATTAGTTATTTTTGTGTTTCATTAGAAGAAAAGAGCGTTACATGTTGTATTTGTCATGTTATCAAAATAATAAATATTTATTCTTTAAAAACGTTGTTGATAAAAAACTATGTACGACATCAAATCGATAATATTAAACGTTTAATTGAAATTTTAAAAATCTGGCAACTTTAAAAACTGAACAGTTTGAACCAGGAACTATAAATTAATATGCACAAAAAATAAATAAACTTTAGTGACGTGTAATTATGACCAGTGTGATTAATGTTAGTTAAATATTTAAAAATCAATTACATTTAAGTCTTAAAATTGGTAAAAGATAACAAATGTTTATGTTTGGGCATGGGAGAAAAGTAAGGCATTTGTGAGGCACATAACATTTAAAAAATGTATATTTCTCGAGGACTGATTACTCAGTATAGCAATTTATTTGTTACTGTTAGGATTCACAAAAAAACACATTTTTTCTAATGCAATTAATTAAAATCCATACCTGTAACAAGTTCATCTTTAAAATAAAATGTATTATAATTATTTAATATATTTCGATAAGACTTTATCCACATCAAGTAAAATTATTTAAAATATATATAATATTTGTTCAATATTTGTTTAAAAGAGATCACCTTAACTGTGATTAGTTAATAACATCAGAAAGTGTTATTTCTATCCATAAATAGTCTAAACTATCAGAATGCAGAAATAGTAGAAAACGCAGGTACACAAAGATATCATATCCGTTTTGTTGAAAAAAACGTAAAAAAGAAATATACCTATGGTATACTCGATAAATATTTGATTACGAGAAAAACAAGAAATCACTTTAAATGAAACAATAACTAGCAATAGCGCGAATATGTATTTACTATTCAGCACACTTATTATAAAACAGAATCAATTATTTTTAATCAAAATATAAAATACATACTATTGTTTTTATAACGTAATTCTGTGAAAGTAAGAAATAAATTAATAATTATCATTTTTTTTTTAAATTACCATTACTGTTTAAACAGCTCAGTGTGACAAATATATATGGAATAGTCTAGTTTTGAAAGCCGCTTGCATTTGGCTCTTAGTTATAGTAACCTATTTGATTTATATCAATACTAGACTTCCTAAAGATAATATGTGCTTTTCGTTTATTAATAATAAGTTGTTTTAGAGAATTTGACAAACATTAAAGGAATCTTGGTTTCTCACGTAGGTACTTTCAGTGGAATAAATCTATTTATATAATGGAATAAGGCATCATTGAAAATAGAGGTGGCATCATTAGTGATATTTATAAAAAAAGTATCTAAACAGATAAAATTGTAAAAGAATTCATTTGTAGCCATATAATTAGTAGATTAAAATCAGGAAAAGAAAAGTTTACCTCATTTTTGTACTAATTTGGTAAAGGGCATGTACCAACTTAGTGAGAATAGTTGAAATCAAATTTAAAAAACTAAAAGAGTAATAGTTGTTATCTACTGATATATAATTTTTTAATAAAAAAGTAAAATCATTGATAGTTTTAAACGTAATTGATATGAAAAAAAAAATTACGAAGTTAGAGCATAATATATAATGGTAGTGGGAGGAGGTAAGGTACCTAAGGCTATGTGAACTAAATTATCTTAAGTCAACGCCAGGAATGTTTAAGGTAAGAAATTATCAGAGGAATAACAGTTGCTCAACCTTATAATAAGCACTATTGGAAGTTCCCCTAAATACGGTTTAAAATTAGTTTTTTTTTTTTTAGAATTGTGTTTTAGAATGTCTTTGAAATAAAAACTATTTTACACCTTGATAATTGACCAAAATAATGATCAATGACAATTTATAATTTTATAAATTCTGTAGTCATTGTTCTATCTGCTAAATAGACAAATAAAAACATTAATTGTTTAAATCACTTGCCTCCTTCAGAGTCAATTACATATCCTATAAAATAAAAATTAACTAGTTAATAATTAAATCGGTCTACATTTTAATATTAATATTGGAATTACAATAATTGATTTTTTAAAGAGGATTTAATATATATTCTGCACATACTTTCTGTCAGATTGTCGTGAATGTCCTTGACGGTCATATCTAGAAAAATTGACAGTTATTATAAAATTTAGTAAAAGTTATTAATATGGCTTGATATAAATGATTGTATTGTATCATATCAGTTGTGGTTAATTTTAGTTTTGGGTTAAAACTTTTTTGTTGTTTGAACATAGGTTCATNTAATGATCAATGATAATTTATAATTTAGTAAATCTGTAGTCATTATTCTATCTGTTAAATAGACAAATAAAAACATTAATTGTTTAAACCACTTGCCTCCATCAGAGTCAATTGTATATCCTATGAAATAAAAATTAAATATTTAGTAATTAAATCAGTATATATTTTATTATTATATTGGAATGACATTAATTGATTATTTAGAGGGGATTTAATATACATTCTGCACATACTTGCTGACACCTTGTCGTAAATGGACTTGGCGGTCATTCCTAGAATAATTGACAATTATTATAGAGTTTAGTAAAAGTTATTAAAATGCCTTGATATAAATGATTGTATTGTATCATATCAGTTGTGGTTAATTGTAGTTTTGGGTTAAAACTTTTTTGTTGTTTGAACATAGGTTCATGTAGATGAGTAATAATTTATTATTTTTACTGTAATAAATTAAATATACTATATAATTATATAAATAAGAAAATATATATGCACTTTTTTTTATTTATATTGATTAACTATAATTTTTTTATGAGTAATTACCATTTTAATAATTTTGTTTTTTTAAGTTATTATTTATAAAATAAATTTTTTAGTTTTGGTGAATATTTTTTTTTATATTAAATATTATTGTGTAAACACATCCAAGTCAAAATAAAATCTACGAACCACAAGTTTCATGCATAGTTGTTCTTAATAATATTGCATTATATTCTGTTTCATTATTTAATCCTCAAAAAAAACCATAGAGGAATTAAATAATACAGTTTATTATAGTCGATAGATTTTGGCTAAACATTATACGAATAATAATAAATGGCAAAATAATAAATCGTCAAATGTGTTGGTAACAATATGTATGACGTAGAACTTCTAAAATGATAGATAAAACTATCAGACCAATTATGTTTAGGTAACCGCCTCAGCCTCCAAGTGATTACAGATGATGTAATTTTTTTTTTTTTCAATTATATTCAACAAAAATAATATTAATATGAAAGTTAGACGAACAATAACTAATTAAGTACTATGGTAAAATAATTATTTTATTTAAGCAAACAGATGTTGTTTATTAAGATGTCGTTTACAGCGCGACAATAATTGTAACCGTAAGTATTACATAATCATAAGATATCATATTACGGTCGGTGGGCACTGTCCATTATTGTTGGTTTCATAGAAAATATTTATGTATACCTTCACTCCCACTTTTACCATTATCAATGAAGGACTATTTAATACGTTTGCGTTATTATTCATGTAAATAATACTTAACAAAAACGATATAATTAACAATGTGGTTTTCTCATCAATTGTATAACAAAATATATAATAAATTCAATTAACGATGTAAAATTAGAAATTACAAAATATGTCGGCCAATTTTAGATATCCGACACTAAAAAATAATTTAATTTTTAACCGAATACTTACTATCATTTATTCCATATGTCTGTTCCAAAATATCTATTTAGGATAACGATGATTAGTAATTTCTAATATTTATGTTTAGCATATGGTAAACAGCTAGACTTGTTAGGAGAATTAGAATAAGTAACCGCAATTATAGTAGTGGGCATAATAAATATATTAATAAAAGATGTAGAAAATTGTTGTTCTAATAAATGCTGAATGTGTCCTATGGCATTTTTAGAGTCTGAATGTAGCGAATATTGGTTTTATAAGAACGGGAGAATTTTTTTTTTCAGTTTTTTTTGTCAACTTTTCTACTTGAAATGTTGTTCCAAAAGAAAAAATAACGTGTGATATTTTTGTTGTTTTTTAAATTTGATTGGTTAAAAAGAACGTAAAAAAGTCTAGTTTTGATTTTCTAATTTTTTTTTCATAATAATAGAAAATAAAAAACGAAAAAAAACAAAAAATATAAGGAAGTTTACAGCATTTAATCTAAATAAGTAATTTTTCAATTGTTTAGAAAGTTTTCCAACGAATTTCAACAATTTTCTGTGAACAATTTTTCTACAAGTTCCGTTTTATAATGCTAGCATTTTTTTTTAAGGGAAATATGATAGGGAATGTAATTTAGGGAGATAATTTATAGATTCTCTCTAAACTTTTAATCCTATACATGGCCTGCGTCTGGCTCTTATTATCCAAGAGCTTTTTTTTACTATTTAAAAATTTACTTACCTATTGATCCTAAAAAATAAATAAATACATATTTTTTGAATTATAATAATATTATAATGACTCAGTTATATTTTGAGAGTTTTTAAGATTCTAAGTGGAGGGAATGGAGATTTTTATTGAATAACATTTTACGATTTTTTTCTGTTGGTTAAGATCTCTGTAAGAAAAACTAGTATTCTTGATCTGTTTTTTAATTTTAGCACCTTTTTTGAAATAAATTCAGTTGGACAAGTACTTTGGGGAGATCAGATTTTAATTTACTAATAAGTTTTCTCAAAAAATGAGTAAGACCGAAAAGAAACTTGAAGAAAAACCGAAAAACGTACGAAATATATTAATGAAATATTACAATTTATTTTTCTATGGACAACTTTTTTTACAAAAGATTTTCCTTAATTTAACAACTATAGACATTTTTTACAAAGAAAATTTGACTGGGTTAATACATCACATAGGTCATTCTTTGTTTTTTTTAGGAATTTTCTCAATAAATATGAAAACCGAAATAATATGGAGAGATACGTGAAAATGTAAAAAATGTATGTTTTCGTTAAAAAAAAATTGTCTTATTTTTTTCCAGTAAATAACTATTGTACCAGTAGTTTTGATCTAATTTACTATACTATTTAGTTTGACAGAGAAAATGATGAATTTTATTGAATAATAGACACTCATTGTGACATGATGATTATTGATCTTTCGTATGGTTTTGTTAAGTTTAATATACCGAATATTAAACAAATTTGTTATAATTTACATATGCACCATAGAAAAATTGTCTAAAAATTAAGTATATCTTAGTGACAGATTTATAAAATATGTTTCTCATTTCCAGAGCACATTCGAATGTAACACTATAGTTTACATCTATACTCGGTGAACATTTCAATGGGCATATCGGAAGTATCCTGTGTTCCCAAATCACATTGTAATGTACATTCAAATATCTCTGTACCAAAATATCATAAACGGATGAAAATCTACTGATATCTTATTCTAGTAGAATTATTCATGATACAAGTAAAACAATATAGTTTACTCGTAAAATAGTAATTTGAGACTGACATGGTTATAAACTTAGCTACATCCGACACCATTGTCCTAGGAACTCTTTTTATACTCATATTAATCATAAAACTATAAAAAAAAATTAAAAATTTACTCACCTGATTCGCCTAGAATAAAAATAAAACTCATTTTTAGAAAGAAAATTATTTAAAAATGACTAAATTACTTAATATATGGTTATATTATAATGATATTAATTATATGATTTTTTCAATTAGATAATTTTACTGAAAGAGTGGACGTATTGTAATCAAAATTTGAACGAAAACTTTCAGAAGTATTTCAATGCTAAAGAATATAGCATAAAATCAGTTAAACGAACACTACACGAATCTGAACAACAACATGTCATATACTCGAATCCTAAGAAATAGCCGATATACCGACAAAGTTAATACTCCAGTATGGTTGATATACCTTTTGACAGTTAAATTGAATTTTAACCTTTAAACATAAGAAGATCTAAATCCTGACAAGGTTTAAATCTTGACAAGATATAAATTTCGTTGTTATCATAATCCATTATTCATTCTGCCACGATATTTAAAGATATCTACAATGAAGTCTTTTAATTTAAACTAAGAGATATGACCATAAATAAAGGGACATACATGTAATTGTAAGTTAACGTAATCGACAATATAATTCAGTGAGATAGGGTGGCATTTTTTTATTGTATTCTTTAAACAGTTGGTTTAACTAACTATTTATTAAGAATTCCAACTCTAAGTTATGATTTTATACTTATTCTAAATAAAGAATTAACATAATAATTTAAACATAATACTTACTACTATTAACTAGAACAAAAAAAAACTTTTTTTTATTACCAGATCAATATAGGCTATCAGAAGCAATATAAATGATAAAGAAGATAAACGTAAAATGAAAAGGAAAAAAAAAGACTAAAAAAGATGTGAGAGGTTAAGAGAATTGTAGAACTGCCAGTGAATGCAAGAGACTTGAGAGATCTGATTCGATCTGGTCAATTGATTCATTGACGAGAATGAGTTATGACGAGAAAGGCCAACACCAAATATTTGGGATGAACGTAAAGGAGAAGTTGAAGAAAAAACTACACAAATCGTACAGTAATATAATTTCAACTAAATAAAATAAAATAAATATATATTTAAATGTTAGTATTATGGTATAATTATTATAATAACTTCCCAGAATTATAAACCCATATTTCACACATAATAATAACTACAGTTATATTATTACAATCATTACAATTTACTTTGAGAGACCGAAGTAATAATTATTTTACCCATCATTTGCAATGTTCCATTATAGTATAACCAATGAAATTTTTAGAACAGGTTACTTTAGCTAGACTGTTTTTTGATTTTCTCATGAGTTTTCTCATCAAATTTTAATAACCGAATAAAAATCGGGATATGAAAAGAAATTTAACAATAACTTAAAATATATGTTTTAGATGTATTAACAACTTTTTTACCAGTTGACTAGATCTTGGATTTCTAAGTGTAGCAACTTTTATAAAAGAAACTCAGTATGGGGAACGAGTATTTATGAACTCAAATTTTATATTAGAAAATTAAAGATAAAGATAAAGATATGTAATGCCCAGTTAATCATTTTATCACAATATACCATATTATATATTGTTGACAAAGCATCACTATCGATTGAACTACGTTTAGAATTGGTTTTTTGTTAGAAATAGTTTAACGTTCCTTAAAGGTATATTTATTATATTAAATATAACAGTAGCTGCATCAGACACTGTTGTAATATTTTTATACTCATATTAATCATAAAACTACAAACATTTTATAAAAATATACTTACGCATTGCATCTGGGATAAAAATAAATAGTCATTTGATATAGAAAGTTATTTAATAACTACTCTGTTACTTAATATCTGGTTATGTTATTATTTTTTTTTAAAAATGCTAACTTCATTTGAATTTTTTAAACAAAATACTTACTTTTACGCACTAGAATAAAAAAAAAAAATAATTTTTTATGTAAAGGGATTAAATTGGTCTTGTTATCAGCAAAAATAAAAATGATAATTAAGATAAATTATTTAAGAAAATGACCGAAAAAGATGTGATTGGGTAGGAGAAAAGTAGGAGAACGGCCGATGACTGTTAAGATGATTTGAGAGATAAAATTAATAGGAATTTTATGTGAAAGATAGTTGACCCAAAATATTTGGGTTGAAGCTAAAGTAGAAGAAGACAAAGAAAAATCAGCAACAATCGAATAATTTTATATTTTCAATTATGTAAAATATAATATCAATATTAGTATTATAGTAAAAATATTATAAAAACTCCCAAAATTTGACACAAATATCATATATGAAATTTTGTTTAGATTGTGAGTGGAACGAAAAAACTTATAGTTTTACAAAGATGTTAATTATTATTTTTTCTTATTATTTCTTGTTATTCTTATTATTTTTTTTATCTGTTTACAAAATTATAACAAGAAGACTTGCTATGATTTGATGATTATTGAAAGCAATTTTTCTGAATGGAAATATTACTGGGGAGACACTTTAAAGAGGTTATTTTTTGCCTCCAAATGAGTCTCTAAACAAATTTGAAAAAAAAAAAGACGAAAAACGGTGAAAACGTTGGATGAACCGGAAAATCAATGCATCGAACAAACATTATTTAAAATTAAAATTAATGCCTATTTCATATTTTTACTATTTTATGACAATTTCAGTGGGTTTCTGGAGTGATGCATATTAAATATTTTTCAATTTCTTTTTCCAAATCGACGTCCCCATTGAAGAAAAACCTAATAAATAAAAAAAAATTATTGAATATGAACATCTCTAAAAAAATTCAAAAAACATAGTGGGTCATACAGTATATTATTGATAAAGCATCACAAACAACTAAACTCTGTTCAGAATTGTTTTTTCGTTAACAATAGTTTATCATTGCTTGAAGGTATACATTAAATGTCTTATGACAGCGGCTACACCTATACCTTCAACACTTTACAAGGGCTGCACCTGACCTTTATTATCCTAGGACGTTTATTTTTTCTATCCATATTAATCATTAAACTAAATTTAAAAATTAACTTACTCTTTGATCCTAGAATAAAAATAAAACATATTAATTGAAAGAAAATTATACACTAATAATCCGTTATATATATATATATATATTATGAGGGATTTATAGATTCTGAATAGAACGAATAGAGATGTATAATGAATCATGTTTTACATGGTTTTTTAATTTATTTTTTTTCTGTTAATTAAAGAACTCTAAAAGAAAAACCAGAACTATTAACCGATCCTTGAATAGTCTTTTTGTTACCGATAAATATATCGTTTCATGCAGGTATACACTAAATTACATTTAACAGTGACTACAACCGATCCTTTTAACATAGTCCATATTTCTTCACTCATATTAATCCTAACATTACATAAAAAATTTAAAAATTTACTTACTAGCTGTATCTACAATAAAAAGTAAAACTCATTTAGAAAGAAAATTAAGTAATAATGGCTCAATACTTATCACATGATTATATTATAAGGAATTTTTAGGCATGCTTACTCCATTTGTATCATTATATTATGCATAAGTTATAATTTAAATTTTTTAAGTGTTAAATTGGTATGTGTCGTAAAAGACGATATTTTCGATCAAGTTAATATTTTACAACAATTCAGATGTATCATTTGCTAATACACATTTTGGTATCAATTTTTTCTGATTGTGAATTTGGCAATTAAATGACCCTACTGAAAATGTGTATGTATTGTAATTAAAATTTGAATGATCTAATTCCTGACAAGGTTTAAATCTTGACGGGATAAAAATATCACCATGATCTTAATCTGTTTATCATCCCCTAAGGATGAATGATGTCTGCAATGAAGCCCCCAAGCCTAATCATAGAATATAATCATAAATCAAGAGACGTAAATGTAATTGTTTAATAACGTAAACGATAATGTTTACGTATTACGTAATGACGTAAATATAATTCAATGCGATTCAATGTAATTAAGAGTAAAAATGTAGAATACTTTTGATGTATTTAAGACCAACATTTCATAAAAAGTTCAAACACTAAGTTTTGAATTTATACTTATTCTCAAATAAGAAATCACATGAAATTTTAAAAATAATACTTACCGTCGGGCACTTTAATAAAAACAAAATTCAATTTTAAATATCAGTTCAAGATTGGCATATTAAATATTTATGATTTTACTAAGATTTTAATTATTATTTTTTTTTTTATCAGTTTAAATATTTTTACCAGATAAATTGATAGGATTTACATTTTCAGCAAAAGGAAATCTTACAGATAAAGTAATTTAATAAAGTCATTTTCCGTCTAACAATATTTCTAAAAGAAAATTTTAAAGATAATTTAGCAAGGTTATTTTTCAATTCTTTAATTTTTATCCCAGAAAATGTGAAAAACCGGGATAAAACATGAGAAAACCGGAAATAAAGTAGGAAAACTGGGAATATCTGTATGAAATTGATCAATGGTAATTAAAGAAAATATACAATGCCTAGTTAATTATTTAACCATAATATATATTGTTGATAGAGCATCACTTATAAAAAAAGTCTGCTCAGAATCATTTTTTCGTTAGCAATTGTTTTTCATTCTTTACAGGTGTACATTTAATTACGTATTATAGTGGCCGAACTTCGCACCATTATTCTAGGACATTTTCTTTTTCTTATATTAATCATAAAACTACATAAATCATTCATAAATGTACTTACCATAATATCCTTGAATAAAAATAAAAACTCAGATTTTAATAGAAATTGATAAAACACTAATTAATAACGCCTCTGTTACTTAATATTATTTGGTTTTAATATAAGGATTTTTTTGTAAGTATGCTTACTCCATTTGTATTTTATTAAACAAAATACTTACTGTCTAAAAAAAAAATAACAAAATAATTTTTTAATTATCAGATCAAAATGGCCTTGTTATCAGAGGCAATAAAAATGATAATGAAAATAAACGATGAGGGGAATAAAATAAGAAAAAGATTGGATGGGATGAGAAAACGGTAGGAAAACGACCGGTGAATGCTAAGAAATATATATATAATATATATTTTATATTATATACAATATGAGAGATAGAATCGAATGGAATGTTATGACTGGAATGACCTACTAAAAATATTTAGTAAAAAAGAAAAAGAAGAAGAAATATCAGCACAAATAAAATAATTTTTTTTTTTTCAATAAAACACAATATAATATAAATAATAGTATTATAGCATAGATATTGCATAACGTCCAGAATTTGAAACCCATATCTCATACAATAAAGTCTCCACAATTATAATAAAACAATCACAATCTTAAAAAATAAATCTGGGACGATGAATTATCAATGCAGCTACTTAGAAAAGCGGTCGTCATACTTATTTAATCCATCATTTGTATTGTTCCGTTATAGTGGAACTAGTGAAATTTTTTGAAAGGGTTAGGTCAGAATAGCTTTGACCTGTATTTCTTAAAGTTAGTGGTACCAACTCCTAGGGAATATTTCAGTCCTTTAGGGGTCGGTAGGTTTTGAAGGCGTATTAAATGGGCGTTAAGCGCTAAAATGCAAAATAATGGAACTAACGGATAAACACCAGTGACCAGTGACATGTATTATCGATTATAAAATCAGAACAGTTGTAATTGAGTTCCAAGAGAAAATGTTTGTGTACTTCATTCATTGCTAAGTTCGACCTTTACAAAACGAATATAAATCCCCAAAAACTGATTCGGTTTCTAAATCTCAAGGTATGGTCAAATGCAAATAGTAAGATTCCTGTTAACGAAATTCAAATTTTCAGTCACCATCATATATTGCTAAAAAATGTCAAGATTCAAAGACACCCTCGAGTTAAAATACAATGTCAAGATAATTATTCAAACATAAAATATATTGTTGATAACGCATAACTTTTAAAAAAAATTCTTCTCAGAATCATTTTTTCTTTAGTAACTGTTTTTCATCCTTTAGAGGTGTACATTTAATTACTTATTAGAGTAGCTTCACCCCACCCCATTGATTTAGAACAATTTTTTCTCTAATATTAATCATAAAAAATTCAAAAATGTACTTACCATAATATTCTAGAATAAAAAAAAACATTTAGATTTTAAAAGAAATTGAAAGAAAATTACTTAATATTATATAGTTATATTATAAGGGTTTTTATTTTTAGTACGCTTACTCCATTTGTATTTTTTAAACAAAATACTTACTGTCTAGAAAAAAAAAAACAAATTACTTTTTTAAATTTTAGATCTATTTGAGCTCGTTATCAGAAGCAATAAAAATTATAATAAAAACAAACTAAGAAGGGAAAAAAAAAGAGAAAAATATTTGATGGGATGAGAAAATGGTAATAGGACATTCGGTGAATTTTAAGATAATATGAGNTTGGAAGGAGGACGTCCGGTAAATGCTATAACAATATAATATCAATATTAATATTATGGTAAAAATATTGTAATAACGTCCCAGAATTTAATACCCATATCTTACACATTATATTATCCACAGTTATATTATTCCAATCACAGTCTTGGAAGATAAGGCCGGGAACATAAATTATCGATGCAGCCACTTAAAGAGGCTGTTGTACTAATAAATTTATTCAACATTTGCATTTTTCTGTTCTAGTGCAACATAATAAGTCAAGTAATCGAGCTTTGCAGGCGGTCTTCTTACTTCCTCTTTTATTCCTATACAATAACCAACTCTGATCATCCGTAGCGGATCATTCAAAATGACATCACCGCAATAAACATATTTTCATCGTGATCTCAAGACAAGTAAAGAACCACAACCTGTTGCATGGAATAAGTATAATTATTTTGATTAAAAATCGCGCAGTAAATATAAATGAAATTGATTTCATAAAGCAGAAAATATAAAAGTATGTACGAATATAATATTTAGACAACTGGTCGTATAACTCAAATGACTACGGGTCGGTTAAATTATCAAAATTGTTTTATATGAAAAATCCAATTACCTTTAGGATATGTTATTCTTGAAGAGCGCCCTGTGTGGATAAGGACCACAAAAGAAATTATAGAAATAATGATGAAATATCGCATTATAATATTTTTAATTTTCTTTTAACTTTAAAATTTATACTTTAAATTTAAACTTAATTTTAAATTACTTCTAGTAATTTTGCTTTGATTTACATAGCACATATTTTGAAAAAAAAAACTGATTAAGAAGGTTAGAAGATCATTTTCAGATATTCTGAAGAACTTTCTGAGCAAATGGAAAATAAATCGTTTTTCGTTACCAATAATTAATCGTCACGTACAGACTTACATTCAATTTACCCTCTAAATTTCCAACTTCTCACATCCAACAGTGGCCCGAATATCTTACTACCCTTGTCCG